CCCTCCTGATAAATCATTGCATCAGTCATTGCCTCTATTCCTCCGCTCCTGCATTTCATAAACTGGGAAACCTAACAAAAACAATAAAAAACAAAACCAAAATGAATCAGAAAGAAGAAAATAATAATAAGATAAAAATAAAGAGTAAGAAATAAAAGACCACCAACAATACTTTAAATGCCAGATAAGAAATTTCTGTCCTGGAACAAGCAAGAAATATTTAAGCCTGGAAAAAATTCAGGTTGGGTCAAGAGGGAGGTCAACTGGCCAAATATAATATTATAGCATGATTCGATCCACCAGTATGAAGGTTACAATAATCTCTGTCTGACAGTAATAAAGCTGAGTCCCTTGCGTGTGGCTAGAGGGGATCCGCCAGAGACGTAATCTGACTAGATAATTCTGCAAATGAATTTTGGGTTCCCACTGTTCTCATAGCCTTCTACAAATCGGGTGTTCACAATGTAAGCGCTGATACTTTTCCCTTCATCATATTTAGATTTGGTTACTGTCATCTTTGGATCACACAATCTGGTGTACTTTCTCCGTGAGGACTTAGTTGACTCTTTGCTTAGAAGGCTGCTTCTTTGAATACAAACCTTTAAAACACCAGACATTATTCCAATTGATAGGTGGGCACCATCTGCTTTCTTCACCACACTTTGCTGGAGCACCCTTATCTTCAGTGATCCTTTCATGAAGGTGAATAGCAAGCAAGGCAACCAAAAGAGATTGTTCTTCAGGTTGATAGAGAAGTCCATGGTGGACTCTCAGCTGCCATTTCTAGCCGAATCACAAGGCAAAAATTTCATTCAAGACAGGTGCCATCTTGTGTGAAGGTCAAATGCCCACTTTCTAAAATCTATAAGGTCACTCACTGCCTGAGTTTTCCTTTCTGATAGTTCCTGTTTTGAAGACTAACAACAACAACAACATTATTGAAACAGCACAGATATTTAAACATAGCTACACAGTTTTAAGTTGCTCCAATTAGGTTGAACCATTAAAAATTACTGAAAATTGTTCTTTAAATATGGCCACTGATATTCTAAATATCCTTGGTAATGGAATGCCAGTTTCCACTGCAGGTGAAGAAAAAGGCATACTATCTTGTGTCAAAACAGAAGAACTGTAATCTAACCCCTCATTTCTCTTGGGTAAAACCACCCCAAACCTGAATAAAAATCCCAGCAACAAACAGTGACACAGTGCAAAATTAATGTCCTATACATACATATACACATATTTTTCAAAATTCACTCTCTTCAAGTCAATTCTGTCTCATAGTAACTCTATGTGACAGGGTAGAACTGCCCCTGTGGGCTTTGGAGGCTGTAAATCATTACAGGAGTAGAAAAATCCACTTTTCTTCTGAGGAGGAGCGGGAAAGTTTGAACTGCTGAACTATCTTTAGCAGCCCAAAGCATCAACTTATCATGAACCAGAACTCTGAAAAATTCAATTAGCAAACCCAAATGTGAATCTGGACACAAATGTTTCAGAAAAATTTCCAGGTTTTCTTTGGATCATGCCAACAGAGTTTCTATTGTAAATATTAAATTCATACTTAAAACATTTTCTTATACCCTCACAAAATGTAAGCAAAACATAACCCAGAAGTGCCCATCTTCCACCCCAAATTAGGAGTTACCTCTCTCAAAAGCAGATGCACAATGCCAATTTTCAGAAGATTCTGAGTCCTGGAAAACCTAGGCATTAAAGACAAACAGGACAGATAGAACAAGCCAACAATTCACAGTTGAGAATACAGCTGTGTTCAACATCTTTTTTGAAACAAGAAAACCACTCATTCACTTGAGTTTTTCCCATAGCCCCGTCCTTGTAAACTGTTTTCAACATCACAACAGTTTCTGTGGCATTTTTCCTGAGCAGTAAACAAAATTTCATAACCGCATGCTGTTCTCTTAAATTGGTCATCACAATTGAGGTTCAAGTGAAACTGCTTTTACAAAAAATTCACTGTGACCAGAGAGCACCTTCCCAGGTGATGCCATTGTGTGCACTAACCCAGAGCAAGTTGCTCGATACTTGCCTAGCATGAAAAACGTGTACTGTGAAAGTTCCATTCCACCCAGCGCAATTCTGTTTTGTGGGGGTGACCCCCTCATATATCTTTGGTTAACGATCAGAAAGAATTCAATGGAGGGTTAATCTATTTGTCTGGAGCCCTGGTGGTGTAGTGGCTAAGCATTGGGCTGGGATCCACATGGGTGGCAGTTCAAACCACCAGCAGCTCTGTGGGAGAAAGACTGGGTTTTTCTATTCCCCTAAACCGTTAAAGCCTCAGAAATGATGAGTCAGCATTAACTCAAAGGCAGTGAGCTTAAGAGTTTGAGTAATCTATTTGGGAACCCTACAAATGGATTTGGGGCTGCCACTGCCATCCATAGTCTTTTGCAATTCAGGTGCTCAGATTTTAAGCTGTAATGCACAATAACTGTGATGACAGCATAAGGCTGGGCAATGTGTCTGTTGCATATGGGGCCACCATGAGTTGCAGCATATTCAGTGGCAACTGACAACCACTGTTATCCCATAACATTCAAGTCATTTCAACCAGTTCTAAGACTTACTCATGAAGGACATGCTAGTGTGAGGGCCATTGTGTCAGTCTGGGTAGACTAGAGAAACAAATCCATGGACACACATATGTGTATAAGAAAGAGATTTATATACAAGAGCAGTTCGATGTTGAGAAAACATCCCAACCCAGTCCAGTAAGTCCATAAGTCTGATATTAGCCCGTATGTCCAATGGCAATCTATAAAGTCCTCTTCAGACTTATGAAACATATGCAAGGAAGCCAGGATAATGACAAGGCAGTGGGTAGAAAGTATTTGGATCCAGTGGTGTTGTAAGCATCTCAGTGCTGGTAGGGGTCTTTCTGTGGCTTCTCAGGCTTCAGAAGTCTGGTTGTATCCATGTGGCTTGTCTGGCTCAGAGCACTAGGGTAGTTTCATGTGTCTTGTCAGCTGCAATGTCTCCCAGGGAGTGGCAGAGAGAGAGAGGTGTCTCCCACCTCCAAGGAGGAAGTAGGGGATTTCCCAGAATTCTCAAGAGAAGGCCATGCCCACACAGAGGCCTCATTGGCTATGATCTGGTTGACAAGTTAGACTCCACCCCTACCCTCTTAATCCTCAAACTGACAAACGATTGATTATATATCTACCACAGACCACCCCTTGTCAATTTGATACTTTCACATAACTCTGTAACCATACATAATTTTCAAACAAACAATAATGAAATCCTATCTGTGCCTAACAGGATAAAACTAAAATGCATACAATTCAATATATCACCCTCATTTAAACATAACATTTTATAAATGAATAAAACAAAAATATCGTATGCCTAACAATTGTAGTTAAGTAACAACTACACCTTGATCCTATAATCCTATGAATATATTCTGCCACCTATGAAAGTTTATAAGCCAACCACTTCATGCCTTTATCCCCCAATTTGGGGTATCCAATTTCTATACTGCCCACTTACATCAACCAAGTACTCTCAGGAGACATTCATACTCTTTGAGGTAAATAATCTTCATTCCAGTTGGAACCTTGTGAAATCTGCATCCATAAGCAAAGTCAAATCAAGACAGGCCATCCATAAAGTCAACAGCAATATGCACCAGTACACAGGCTCAAAAATCTTCTCTTCATCTGGTCTGTTTTTGGTCAACACATTGTGGGCTGCCTCTCTTAGCCTCACCAGGGTGTCCATTGGTTGCCTTGCCTTAGACCATGGCCCCATCACAAATTCTCAACAACCCTAGTCCCTTGTGCTAGGTCATGAACTTCAGACCAGTCAACTCACTCTCATCTTCTCCTCTTGTTCCTGTAAACCAGGTCCACAGGTGTCAGTGGCCAAACTCAACCCGTCTCTTTATTGCTGCATTTCTCCCACTTCCACTCAACAGGTGGATCCAGGTGGTCACCTAACAAGGATTTCAGCCTTCCCACAGGCTTCTTTTAATGCTCAGTCCTAGAGAGTTTTCTTCATGGTTTCAGGTTTTTTCCAGCTTCTGACAAAAACCACTAGAGTTCAAACTTCAAGTCCAAAGAGTTCCTTTAAAAAACTGTTTTTATCTTCAATCTGTCAATCTTGTGCCCAGAAAAGTCTCTTGGAATGCAAATGTCCTGAGTACTCCAAAGTCCTGGGTGGGGCTTATCTTTTCAGAGCCTTCTTTGTGTCCTAAACACATCTAAAGATCAAATTAATGGCTCAGGGCAAGTGGGCTTACAAACTCTATTTTCAGACTTCCCCAAATAATGTCTTTCAGTCATTGTATCAATAACAATAAGCAGAAGAAATCAGTGTAAACAAAGTAGAATCAGATACTAAACCCAATTCTTAAAACAATCAAGTTCAACTCTTATTAAGCTTATCTAAGTCCTTATCGAAACTATTCTATTGATATAAAAATATGGGATTAGACCTCTGAGAGCATCAAAACAGATCCAAGCTTTCTGTCACCCATTTTGACCTTCTGTCAGCCATTTTCCTTAGACAACATAGTTTCTGAGATATTCAAATGGCGATTTCTACCCGAGCTCAAAATCTACATTAACAACATTCATTTTTACCATTTCACACAGGAATAACCAAAGACTACAACCAAACAAAATAATCAAAGCTTTAACTCCCCATATTCTTTCTAGAAAACAACCCAGTAAACTGCATGGATACATCTGACTTCTGGCTAGCCAAAGAAGAAACATTACCAGGAGGGAGAGGTCAAACAAACATCTGCTCTCCATCATATGATTTGTTTCTTCAGTACCCCACTCCCAAGGTACCATGATGTGTTAGGCTATCCAGACCAACACAGCCACAAAGATGCATGAGAGGCAATAATCTTAGTGAGTACCTTGTCAATACAGATGAGGAAACTTAGGTCAAGACAGATAAAATGCCTCACCTGAATGCACTGTGTGAAAGAGCACCAAGCACCTGAAGTGAGCAATAGATGACACCCTTGTTCACTGTGTATATTTCCTTTGTTAGGTAGTGGATGTGGGACTAAGAAGGGAGGTGAAATAAACAAAACATGTGTGGAATCCTTTTGACATAGTCACTTAGTATTATTTTTGTTCCAAGTCACTCTGAATGATTTCTTCACCCTGGATGACCCAGCTGAACAAATTAGATGCTCATCTGGTCCCATCTAAGCTGGGGATTTTATTGAGTCCATCTGGGGCAAATTGCTCTCCAAACTGGTTCTGAACTCTGTTCTGTGGTAACTGGCTCCCTGCCCTTCTGTCCCCACTGAACCTGGAATGTTCCTAATAACAATAGCTGCCACTTATTACTGCCTGTAACTGTGCTAAGTGCCTTCTTATGCATGAAATAATTTTACCTCCATGATAATCTAAGAGGAAATTCCATCTTCGCTGTTGCTATTAGTGCCACCTAGTTGGCTCCAATTCATGATGACGCCATGTACAACACAATGAAACGTTGCCCGGTGCTGAGCCATCTCGTCAAGATCATTTGTATAACTGCGTCCATTCTTATGGTCACTGTGTATTTTCAATACCTCCCAACTTAGCGGGGTGGTTCATCTTCCAGCACTATATCAAACAATATTTTGTAATGATCCATAGGGTATTCGTTGGCTAATTTTGGAAAGTAGATAGGCAGGCCTTTCTTCCTAGTCTAACTGGTGGCATAACTCAGAAAAATTAAAGAAGCATAGTTTTGTTCGTTTTTAAATATATATATACTACAAGATCCTGAAAAGTCAGGATGTAAGGCCAGACCCACCCTACTGGGTTTGCCTTACATTCGGTCTCCACTACTGGGTAATCATGGCCTCTTTTCCCCACTCGTGCTCCCCCTGAGGTGGGCCTATCTATTTCCTAAAAGGATCCAACTTTAGTGGTTTTTTTTCTTCCCCCCACCAGCTGGCACCGCCTCCCCACCTCCCATAAAGCTTACACCTGGAACCCAAGCTAAATCCAGAATTGAATAGCTAACAGAGAGAGAATGCTTAACTAAATTATTTTTATGTTTCTAGTTTTTCGCCTAGCTAAAGATAAGAAAGGACTAAAGGACTGAGGAAAATGGTGACTGATATTAGAGAAAAATTTCCCTATGTTGGGATGTTTCATTACCCTAAAGGCATTTATAATAGTGAACCAATAGGAAATTTATATATATACACATTTGCAAAAGTTCATAGAACATACCATTATCTCTTAATTCCATCTCTCCACAAACTTAGGAAGCCACCTCATACATAAACTTACATATGTATGTATATATATTTATATATGTAAGTGTGCATATATAAAGGAATACACATATAATAAATATAAATAATTCCAATGTATAAAGAAGCAGCCCTGGTGGCATAATGATTAAGAGCTCAATTGCTAACATAAAGGTGGGCAGTTCAAACCCACTCTGTGGCTCTGGGAGCAGAATATTTGGCAATCTATTCCCCAAAAGATCACAGCCTAGACAACCTTATAAGAGGGGGGACTTTTAAGGCAGTTCTATTCTATCAGATAGGGTCATTATGAGTCATTAAAACTTAGTTGTAACCACCACCAACAATAATGTATGAGAGTTATAAGGATTCTATTGTTCGACAGTTGTAGAGCATTTTGAAATAGAAATGCTAAGAGCACTGGAAAAGCTACTTAGGAGTAATAAATACAAGACACTCATTTCAACCAGTGGAACAGGAATAGGGACCACTTGAGCAACTGAATTAGTCAGCAGCACATTAGTCAGCAGCACCTAGTGATCCCTAGTCACTGGGGTAGGTACACTAACTGTGCTTGGGGAATCCCTTCAATCTGCCTCCATGTCTTTGCCCCTGCTGTTCTTTCTCCTAGAAAACCTTCATACTTAAGCCCCCTGACTCCAGGCTCTTCTCAACTCATCCTCTACTTTGTAAATGACTTAACAATGACTTCAGACTTAAGTAGGGGTTTCTGTGGGGAGGGAGGGTTGGTGGTGCAAGCAGTTAACACACTCAGTTATTGACAGTTTTGAGTTCACCTAGATCAGTGATTCTCAACCTTCCTAATGCTGTGACCATTTAATACAGTGCCTCATGTTGTGGTGACCCTCAACCATTCAATTATCTTCAGTGTTACTTCTTAACTGTAATTTTGTTACTGTTATGAATTGGGTGACCCCTGTGAAAGGGTCATTCGACCCCAAAGGGGTCGCGACCCACAGGTTGAGAATCGCTGACCTAGATGCTCTTAAGAGGAAAGGCCTAGTGATCTATCTCTTTACAAATCAGATATTTAAAACCCTAGTGAGCACAGTTCTACTCTGGCACACGTGCGGTCACCATGAGTCAGAATTTACTCAATGGCAACTGGTTTAGTTTTTCAAGGCTTACCTACTGCAGGATATTTTTCTTGCAACAAGCTCATGGCTCTATTTTCCTTATCTGAAATCCTATAACCTGCCAAACCAACTGTTATCACGTTGATCCCAACTCATAGTGCTCCTACAGAATAAAGTAGAACTGCCTCAACAGAGTCCAAAGTTGCATTATCTTTAAAACAAATGACGGCATCCTTCGCCTACAGAGCACCTGGTGGGTTTTCAACCCTAACATCTTGCTTGGCCTCTAAGCACTTTAACCTTTGTACCACCTGAGCCTCCTCTGAAGTCCCATACAACCTGTAAAATTATTTTCTTATCATTATTGAGGTTATTATACAGGCTTATTGAGATAATAACTCACTCCTGACAAGTGAATTCTAATTCATACTGACTCTGTACGGACTGCCACACAGGGTTTCCAAGGCTGTTAGTCTTTACAGAAGCAGACTGCCGCTTCTTTCTTCTAGTGGTTTCCAACTGATCATCTATCAATCAGTAGCCCAATGCTTAACCCACTGTGCCACCAAGGCTCTTTCAATACCATAAAACATACTGCTGTGGAGTTGATTCCAACTTGTAGTCACCCTATAGGACAGGTTAGAGCGGCCCTGTGGGTTTCTAAGACTACTGATCTTTATTGTAGTAGAAAGCCTCATTTTTCTCCCAAGGAGCGGCTGGTGACTTCAAACTGCTGACCTCGTGGTCAGTGGCTCACCATGTAACCCATGGCACCACCAGAGCTCCTTGAAAACATGATAGGTGCTAAAGATATGAAAACCATGATTAGGACTGTTGAAATTAAGATAAAGCAGGAAGCAAAATAAAGGTTTTGTGTAGAACCCTTTCCTTTTGCACCAGGACTTCTTTCTGGCCTAATAATATTAAAGGTCTAGTGGTGTTGCATACCATGGTTCTAAGTACCTGACATGCATCACTTCATTTATTCCTTGCAGTGATTCTACACAGTGAGTTCTATAGCCAACCCTGTTTGGCAGGTGAGGAAAGGCAGGTATAGCAAGTTCCTGAACCTGCCTGTGTTCACACAGCTAGGAAGAGAGGTGTGGGAAGTAAGTCTGTCCGCTCAAATACTTCCTCATTCTTCCCTGACGTTAAGCACAGATGTTGTAGAGTCAGAAGGTTGACTTTCAAAATAGTTTTTCCATACAGGTCTAAACATCCTGTAGATTTAAGCTCACAGTCTGTCTGATATGACCCACAAATAGAAAATACAAGTGTGCATGTGGTGGTCCCTCTAAAAAGAGCATATTTCCCATGGTTTTTGTTCAAAGTCAACCAGCACATATAACTCCACCAGAGTGCAATGAATATAACCATTAGTGCCTTTTTCTCCTACATTTATTCATTTTAGCAACACAAATCAACTTTTACCTGTTTCCTGCATGCAGTTCTCTTGTTACATTTGTCTCCAGGCCTCATATGAGCTCATCACTACCTTTTTCTTCTCAGGAAATTCCATTTTGATAAATGTTGTTTTCTTGAAAGAAAAGAATAATGTGTGTAAGAGTGAAATTTTGTTCTTTCCAGGATACGAACAGCAGTTTGTTAGCAGATCCCATTGAGAGGGCATCGGTGCCAGCTGCAATATCTGCTTCAAGCGCAACCACGTTGAACAACAGCTTTCGTCTGAGAGGTATAATATCTAGTGTTTGTGCTGCTGGCATGAGTCATCTCTGACCATTTCAGGCGAGGCATGTCAGGGCTGAGGCTCATACCTAATGGAGTTTTGTGGGCTGCGATGCCAGCAATGGGACTGCCACTGGTGCACATCATCGGCCCGCCTACTTGGAGATCACTCAGAGCCCTGCTCACCTCACTGAACCTGGAAGACTTTATTCACTGGGATAATTGTCTGCCTTCGACATATTTCTGACACCCTTGCAACTTTTTGTATATACTCTACTTAGGTGCACATCCTATCAACCGTAGTAATGTAAACAACTGGGGATTAAAAAAGACTGCTTTTCATGAAAAACAAATTATCCCTATGAAATAATTGATATATTTTGCCCACTGTAATAAACATACATAAAGATTAGTTAAGGTCTCAGGACTCCTAGTCCTCAAGGGGCTTCATTTTGCCTGGGTTCTGCCCTCAGAATCAGGGGTGGCCTTTGTCCTAAGTCAAAATTGGTTAGACTTAAAGGCTTGAAATTAAATAAGTGGCTATCTAGCAGGGAAGCAACGAAGCCCACATGGAAGAAGCACAGGAGCCTGTGTGATTATGAGGTGTCGATGGGATCAGGTATCAGGCATCAGAAGATCCAAAACAAACAATTATACCAATGTGAACAAGGGGGCCAGCACCCAAAGCCCATCTGTAGACAACTGGACATCTGCTCATAGAAGGGTCACAAGGAAGGGACCAGTCAGCCAGAGTGCATATAGCACCGATGAAATACACAGTCCTCTAGTTCTTTAATGCTTCTTCCCCACTCCCACCCCCCACTATCATGACTCCCGTTCTACTTACAAATCTGGCTAGATTTGTACCTGGCTAGATTGTAGCTAAATCATAGCAGGTACATGGGTAGATAAGAGCTCTCAACACATGGAATCCAGGACAGATAAACCCCTCAGGGAATGTAATGGGAAAAGTAAGGAGAGTAGGGGGAAGGTGGGGGGAGAAAGGGGGAACCGATCGCAGTGATTGACACAATCTCCTCCTCCCGCCCCCGTCACTGAGGAGGATGAACAACAGAAACGTAAAGGGAGACGGTGGACAGTGTACGATATAAAAATAATAATTCATAAATTATCAAGGGTTCACGAGGGTGGAATGGCGGGGGAGGGAGGGAAAAAAGAGGAGTTGATACCAAGGACTCAAGTACAAAGAAAATGCTTTGAAACTGATGATGCACAAATGTGCTTGATATAATCGATGTATGGATTGTTATAAGAGCTGTAAGAGCCCCCAATAAAATGATTTAAAAAAAAAGACAAATTGGTTAGAGCTCTTTCAATCGACTAAATTCATTATCTTGAAAGAGCTGTTGCTTGTGACGGATTTTCTAAAAGATAGCTAGAGGGCAAGGACATGGACTTTATCGGAGTGATGGTGTGGAAGTCACTGTGGCCCATCTCTCTGTACTTCTTCTTTCTTGAAAATAGAATCCCATTTTACTCAGGCAGGGGAAGAAACCCCTTGATCACAGTGCGTGTAGGCCAGTCACATCGCAGAGGGGGATCAGTTCTGTCAGTGTTATGGATTGAACGGTGTCTCCCAAAAGCATATGTGAACTTGGCTAGGTCAAGGTTTTCAGTATTATGCAATTTTCTTTCATTTTGTAACTGATGTGATTCTTGGGTGTTGTAAATCTTAACTTCTATAATATTAAAAAGGGAGAACTAGAAGCAGCTGTGTTAATGAAGTAGCGTGCAATCTGTAGGATTAGATTGTATCTTGATTCAACTCTTGAGATAGAAAGGATATCAAACAGAGGTACCTAGTATGAACAAGAAAGAAGAGCCAGGAGTGGCTCATGCCCTTTTAACCTGGTGTCCCTGTGCTGAAAAACTGCTACACCCAAGGGATGCCTAAGGACAAGGACCTTTCTCCCCAGCTACCAGAGAAAAAGCCTTCTTTGGTAACTGGTGCCCTGGATGTATGCTTCTAACTTCTGAAAATCTAAATTTCTATTGTCAAGTACTTATTCAAGCCATCTACTTGTGGCAGCATTAGACAACTAAGCAATGCTGTTTCTAACCCTTTCTTCCGATGACTGGTCTAGAGGTGGACATATGACCAAATGTAAATATTATTCTGGAAGCGGCCTGGGAAAAATGCTATTTCTAGACAAAATCTTGGAGTCTCGAGAAATTTGTTTTCATTGCCTTTTCCCCGACTTTAATGTGATCATGTGGTGCTGTGGCCATCTGGGGTAGAGAGATGATAATCTTGACATAGCTAAAGTGCTGAGGACAGTAGAGATTCTAGCTCATCACATCAGGACCATTTAACAAATGATAAAATTGCTTCTCCCAGGCGCTCCTTGGTATCTGGAATCCTTAAAGGCATTTACCGTATATACTCATGTATAAGCCGAGTTTTCCAGCACATTTTAAATGCAGTTTTTGTGGTCAAATTAGGTCCCTCGGCTGATATTTGGGTCGGCTTATATTCGAGTATATATGGTAAGTTATTGCTAGTCAGATATCCTCTTATTTGCAGCCAAATGAAATCTAAGCTGATCTACATTCATTTATTTCTGTTATCTATTGCTGAGTAGACCCTTGATGGCCTAGTGGTTATGCCTTGGGTTGCAAACTACATGTTCAGCTGTTCAAAACCACTAGCTGCTCCATAAGAGAAAGATGAGGCTTTAGTCTTGGAAACCCACAAGGGCAGTACTATTCTGTCCTATAGGGTAGCAATGAGTCAGAAGCTACATAATCGTTATTGCTGATAACAAGCCATTTGTCATAAAACATAGTAATTTATATTACCAAATACAATTCTGTAGGTTGGCTATGCTCAGCTGGGACATCCTCACCTGAGATGTCACCTAAGGCTGTAGTCATAACTGGGGATGCTGCCATCTGGAGACATGGCTGGGATGCATGTACAAGATGGCACACAGATATGTATGGCAGCTGAGGCTCAGCTGGGTGATCAACCACTACACCTCTTCATGTGGCTTGGGCTTCTCACAGTATGTTGATTGCTTTCTAAGAGAAAGCATCAGTAAGGGAGGAACAAAAACGAATGTTCCTATATGTTCAGGCAGAAATTGCAAGTTTTTTAAAATTTATGATCTAATCTTTAAAGTCATACAGCAGCATTCCCCACACATGCTATTAGTCAAAAGCAAATGAGAGAATTAACCCAGATTCAAGGCATGAGTACTGGAAGTAGTGGTGGGATGCAGCTGGTTCCCACTGGTTCAGCAGAAACAATACCTAATTTTGGTTTGGCGAACTGGTTCTTAAAATGGCACTTGAAATCAGGGTTCTAAGGTGAGCAGCTAACAAATTTACACTCCTTACACTTTTTTAACATTCATCTGCCCAACAGTGTATTCTAAGCGCCTATAGTAATAATGGTTCATTCTGTCCATAGGTATAAAGAAGTAGACAGAATTATGCTTGTACTATTTATTCATTTCATAAAACTCATTGTGATGAAATACTGCATACACCCTTGTGTTTGTTACTTCTGTAAACAAACATATAAGGTGCCAAAAAAAGGGGTGACATGCTGTCATTTGTTTTAGCTTTGTGTTATGCCGCAAACTCCCACAAGATATGATGAGTGAATTATGTAATTCCTGAAAGTGTTTAAAGAGCTAACAGTATTGTCAGAACAACTGTTGTAGGATGAACATATGTTCAGAGAAGAGAAGTCGCCTGTTTCTAATTCATCAAACACAATGACTATTGTCTAATTGGCTTACATCTAAAGGAATGGGATCCTACTCCTACACTGGAAAGATGGCTAAGGATAAATCACATAACCGATGATGCTTAGAGAAAAGCAAGGAACATTTCAAGTAAGGATGCCAATCAAGAAGCAATATGGAAATAAAAGTTTTGTTTTTGTCAGGTATTAAATTTATTAATATTTTAAAACCCTTTCTTAGAACATAATCTAGGTTTGTGGTCCTCTTTTATTGTTCTTAAGTATTAACTATATGAAATAATAAATGCACTTTCAATATATAATTTTTTTTTTTAATACTTGAAAAGGGCATTAGGGCAGCGAACCAGAATTATTTGAATCCCACCACTGACGGGAAGGAATAGTTTGGTGGAAAGGCTAACTTTAACGACTAGCTCCCATACCAGCAAAGAATTTTAAGTGATGAGTACTGGAGAGCAATAATGGTTTCAAGTGATGGTTAGTAAATTTTAAGTGATGAGCACAATATAAAAATACTGGTTGCTGGCGCCCTAGGAAACCACCTTGTCTAGCAGGATTCAGATGGCATCTGAGACAGAGCACCTCCCCCTGGGTGTGTTCGAGTGTCATCTGTGTGCTTTGTCAGCTCCATACAGCTATGTGGGGCAGAAGCCCCCCAACACCTGGTCTGTCTTCCTGCTGGAGGAGAGCTATGTCCTGAAGGACCCTTTCACCGCCAACAAGGACAAATTCCTTGTCCTTGGCTCCCGATGCAACGTATGTAGCAGGCTGGTGTGCATGGGCCCGGAGTGCAGTGTGTTCTACGCCAAGAGATTCTGCCTCCCTTGTGTCTGGGAGAACATTGTTGCTTTCCCTCAGGAAATCCGGCAAGACGTGGAGAAGCAGAAGACCACGGCAAAGATGCCCTGCAGCAAGCCCAGCTTTCGGACCTGAGGGTAGTCGGTGCCAGGCCAACAGCCTGTGGGTGCCTCCCCAGTAGGCTGCCTTGCAGCCCCAGCTGCAGTGTCTCACTGCCCCTGGACTGTGTCTGCAGGCCAGGAGACTGGGGGAAGCTGGTCTATAGCAGGAAGGGCCAGACCTCTGAGTAACTGCCAGGCCAGTAGGTGGAAAGTCTTGTGGCTCCAGTGTCGGTTGAAGCATCTCAGCGCTAGTGTGGGCCTCCAGGTGGCTGTCCAGCTCAGGGCTCTGGCTCCATCAGGGTAGCACCACGTGGCTTGTCCACAGGAATGTCTCGCAGGGAGACAAGCAGAGCTTGTATCTGTCCTCCAGTGAGCTATTTATCTCCTGCCTCCGAATGAGGTCATGAAGCTGCAACCTGATTAACAGGCTAGACTCCATCCCTTTGCAAGTTGACAGAAGATTATGTAACTGCCACAGACCACCCTGGGTCACCAGTTACATGTCTCCAGACAGCAAGAGTTACATCATTCCACTGTCAGGCCAGCCTACTCCAAAGGTGGTGCACTTTAATTCACAAAAAGCTCATAGACTGCCACGACTCCATTTAACACCATAGTCCTTGGTATAAGTTTTTAAAAAATCCTCTAATATCCATTGGAGGCGGTTATTGTTCCTTTCACATTAGTCTTTTCCATTGTCTCCTCATCCTTAACATCAAAAAACAGTAAAAGGAAAGCATACAAACAAATTTCTGACTGGTCAAAATCACATATAAAGTCCCTTGCCAAAACAAATTTCCCACTCAATCCAGTACAGTTTCCAGGTCCCAAGTATTGGGCCTGTACCAGTGACTATCTTGTAGAAGGGCCTTAATAAACTGAGAAGACCTAAGTGATGTAAAAAAAAAAATACTGGTTGCTATCCTGAAGATTGGAAAACAAGATAAGAAGACCAGTTAGATGGTTGTAGAGGATTGTGGGAAACTTCCAGGAAGCTCTCTCTCCTATTGTGTAGCAGTATTAGGGCTGAGAGCTCAAGAATAGACCTTGTAGGGTCTATCCTTCTCCCCTTTCTACAAACTGAATCACTAACAGGCAGACCCAAGTAACTTGGGGCTCATGAGGCTTGATTAGTGTTGCTGAGGGCCTCTGAGAACGGTGCTCTCTTACTTTTTAAAAAATCCTCAGAAAGTGGAGTCTCTCTCTTTGCCTGGACATGAACCTGGTGGACTCATGCAGAAGTGAATGCTGTTGTATGTTCTTTATGACTAGTAAGAAATACTGATCTTAAAATTAGCTTTCAAAGTGGGGACTCAGGTAGCAGAGCAAAAATCTCAACAAAACAATTAAGGTCTTCATTTGACTTTTTTGAATCACAGAATTAGGAGACAAAATGATATAAGCTGAAGCTCACCCTTTAAAGTTTATACAAGTGATATATGAATGTGGATCACTGCCTATTTTTCTAGGCAACAAGAATACTTACAAACAGTAGAATGGGAGTCCAGAAGTTCATGGGATGAGAGTGGAAGTAGGAGTGTAAGGAACAATTAATGGATAATTGAACTATATGGATGAGCTATAAATGATTTCTAAACTTACAAGTGTGAGTAAATTTTATATCCCTAAAATATTAAAAAATAAATAAGGAGGGACCTGGAGACACATTATCTCAGTAAAAGTTAATTGCAGGAACAGATTCAACCATGTGTATTCAAAACTATGTTTTATGGGCAATTATATTTCCCCTCCTAATTTTATTATACTGACAATCTGACTTTAAAACTCAAACAGAAATTTTATTCCACTCCATAAAAAGATGTTACTTCATTGCTTAATATATGTAGAGTACTAAGGTCAAGGATCTGGAGCAGAATACTGAACACTCATTTACTTGTTTAAATATTATTACAGGATAGTTAAAGGTACAATTGGTTTGATTTTAATTTCTATAGGACAGGCTAGAACTGTCTTTTTGGGGCGTCAGGGGCTATAAATTTTAACAGAAGCACAAAAACTCAACTTTCATCTGTGGAGGACCCAATGGGTTTTAACTGCTGACTATGTATTTTAACATGTGAGATCGCTTTTCTGGGTAAAAACCTACCCCAAGGCAGTAAAGGAAAAGACTGACAGAGTACATTAAATTGAAAATGTAGGTAGACAAGACTGTTCTGATTGGGGTGACGGATAGTGGTTCCTGGATAAAATGGGAGAGAAATATTGAGCCGCATTTAAATTCTTATTTAAAGAGGGGGATGGGGCAAGGAGGAAGCCAGACAAACTGGAACCATTGACATAATACTCTTCAGCCTAGAAAGGAGCCTATCTCATAATCACCTTTTAATGAAAAAACAGTGGCATACAAACTTAAGGGACTTTAGTACAAGACCCAAAGGAAAACAACTATTCAAGAGTGAAGCTAGAAGACAGAGGGCAAGGAAAAGAAAATATTGAAAAGGGAATCAGCTGAGCACAATTAAAGAGAATGTTGATACATTGGGATCAATGCAGTTAATGTCACCCAACAATTTGTGTGGAAATTACCAAAAGGAAACCTAATTTGCTATGTAAACTTTCACCAAAAACTCAATACAATATTTTACAAAATGTGGATGGGACAAAGACAATATAAACGAGGTAAAATGGCACTATGTACATGACAGCGAAACAATGCCTGGTCCTGCGAGCTTCACAATCATTACCTCTGGGCCGGCTGCTGCAGGCACTGTATCAATCTACCTCCTTGAGGATTTTCCTCATGTTTGCTTTTGAATCAAGTCTGACGTCCTTCTCCAGGGACTGGGTTTCTCCCGATAACAAGTCCAAAGGAAACGAGGCAACCTCTCACCCTTCTTGCATGGGATATGTGGACAGAAAAGCAAACAAACCAAAAAACCTGCAAGATAATAAACAGAAAAAAAGCATGTTGTGGATCAATACTGATCCTTTGATATCAATTATATTTAACAAATCCCATGCACAAGTAGGGGCACCCCCATATCATGTTTGTCAGGACATGAGCTCTTTACAAGGTTTCATGCCACACGTGCATATGATTTTGTAAGTGCTTTATGTATGGGCTATTTTTGTAATTTTATACAAGACACTTACAGATGACTTTAAATACAAGGAGTACGTTTGCTAGTACCTTAGTAGCATTCCTTGCTATTTACTATTAATTTCAGTATTCTGAAAATCCAGCACGGGGACTACCATTTATGGATAGATGATAAATAAGAGTGTGAGGAACGTAACCTTTCGTTTTGGTGCCCTGGCACCATGGTGGAATGATTCTAAAGTCAATTATTACCCTACCGCACGACTAAGCCCGACCTTCGCGGCCTACGCCTTCCGTCACACAATGCGCAAGCGCGGAGCGACGGGTCCCGCCCCTAAACACCTCGTCGCCCGCACGCGCGGGTACGTCACCGCGCAGAGCCGCGCACTATTTGACGTTTCTTGGCCCCGCCTCCCGGAAGGGAGCCCCCGCAGGCGACTATGGCGGCCGGCACGGAGCAGTGGGTATTGGTGGAAATGGTGCAGGCGCTTTACGAGGTGAGTTGCTGGGTTCTAGCGAGCGGCGACGCCGCGCGCCCCTGAAAAAGACCGGGAGGCGTGTGTGGATCTGTGGCCGGGTCTCGGTGGGCCGCCTCGCCCGGCTTTGGGCTCAACGCTGGAGGCTTCGTCGGCGCCCGCAGCCCTAGCGGCGGAGGTTGGGTAGGGCAGGAGGAACCGCGTCCTGTGGGGCTCGGAGTTGGAAATGACAGTAAAGCGGAGTGGAGAAAATAGGAAAACCCCAGGTTTAGGGAGATCTTCCGAAATTCAAGTCCTTGAAGTGCGAGGTTATGGGAGAAAAGGTCGTACCAAATCGGACCCTGCTTTTGTCGAGACTTAGAAAAGCCGAATTATTTGTCATTTGTGAATATTCGGTTGTCTATTCCGCATACCACCCTTTCTTATTTAAATCTTAGCTTTCAATAGCTTTGTTTCATGAAGAAAAATTAAGGCCTTTGAAAGGCTTGGTATTTTAGGTATGTAAGTTAATATAAAATCAAATGCGATTTGGTAGACATTGCCTCCCTATGTATAGCTGAGCTCCTACGTATATCTGAGCTAGCTGTTACAGTAGCTACTAACCACACGTGCCTATTAAACATCTAAAATGAGACTGGTGCAACTAAATAATTGAATTTAAAAATTTTATTTAAAATACATTTACATAGCAGTGAGTGACTAATGGGCAAGGTATGGACAGCACAGATCTAGACTTTAGGGATGGTTCAGTGCATAAATAGACCGAAGTCCCAGGGCTTACCGAACTTCCACCCATTTAAAGATAATGCCACTTTTCTTTTGCTGATTTTTAAAAAACTCAATTTGATGATGGTGACCTCCAATGCACGAGCTTTTCCTTCAAAAGCAATTGAGAGAGAAGATAGACTCCCTCTTGTCCTCACATGTTATTAAAGTGATGTCCAGCATTAGGTTAGTTATAGTGACTAAGATAGCAACCACTAAAATAGAATTTAAAAAAAAACACTTTTTCAGTCATGTTCTGTCATGTATTATTTGTTTTTAATTTTTTGAAGCCTCCGTTTTACAATGCGACTGAATACAATGAAACGAATCAAGAGTGAGCCTTGTGAGAAATCCACCTGTATATAACATTTCATAGAAAAGGAAAGGAGCAGCATTTATGATTTTTAATAATTTCTCTAAATACCGTATATACAGTTTATTCCTAAGTGAATTACATTCAAGGGAATCAGACACAACTCATATTAAAGAGATTTCTGCATTTGTGGCCAGTATCTGTGCACTTTTTATGTAGAGTTTGAGGAGCCTTATGTATGCATAATACATTAAAAAAATAGAGTAAGCATATCTGTGCATGTGCATGCATGTATATTGTGTTTTAAAGTTATCTGTGTGGACAGTTGTCATTTATATCAAAATTCTGGATTTTTTTTCACTGTGGTGAATCATTACCACTTTCTGTCACATTTGGGAAAAACAATGTATACATATCTAAGTGTTTCTTTAAATGTTTCCCCAGTGCCAATGCATTGGAGTAGAGCACAGGATAATGTACAGCCTGGAATTGTAGTTGATATGTGGTATCTACTGCATGTACTTGACATACCTAGTTGTACAAATCATAAATACTAATCTAGCCTTTAACCTGGAAGCCTCTGCTTCAAGTAAGACCCGAGATAGATACTTTCATTGAGAAACCTTTGTGCCTATAGACACAGAGTACACTATTCACACTTTGGGGGAGTGTAGTAGAAAAGAGATCTGCTATTTCTTCCAGTGTTTATAAGGTCTTTTTTCCCTGTCGTGTTCCAAGAAGGGTTTAAAGAAGTTTGCTTGCCAAGGATACAGAAAATATAGTAAGATTTGTAAACCCTTAAAGAATTGGGGAAACTGGTTGCCAAATAACTCTCTTAACTCATTTAGGGGTAAATCAGGGTAGTAGAAAATTTATTAAGCTTTGAGATATTTTGTTAGTCATTTCCTACCAGCAAAAAATTAAATGACTAGTAATACCTGATATTTACTCTTGTTTTACTTTTTGGACATGTTGGGCCTTTGTGTCAGATTTCATGAGAAAAGCAAAACAAGCAAACTACCATCCCTCCCACCCCCCAAGAATTTAAGACTGCAGTATTTGAGGACTTCTTCCTCCAGAAGGAATGACCTACCATTAGAAATGGAGAAAGGTTTACGTAAAAATTAGAAGAACCATGAGGGGAGATGGTAAATAGCTTAAAGGATGTAGTAGGCAACATATGCATATGCGCTAAATTTGATGTTCAGCATTTGGAAGTTTTTATTTCATATCTTGTTTTTATTTTGGTTTTGACTCATTCTTAGGCTCCTGCTTACCATCTTATTTTGGAAGGAATTCTAATACTCTGGATAATTAGACTTCTTTTCTCTAAAACTTATAAATTGCAAGAACGATCAGATCTCACAGTCAAGGTAAGAAAACAAGTTTCTGTTTCATTTGACATAGCCTTATAGTTGCCAAGTCTTTCCAGAAAGGATGGTGGTGGCTCAACAATATATCTTAAAATGCTTTTTGTAACATTAGGAAGTCAAGAGAATGAAATGTGAGAGTAGGCAAGTGAAGCCAGGAATGAAGTAAATACTCAAACACATACCACGCTGTGGTCCTGGGCACTTTACTAAGGGTCAGTAACGTGAACAACTTCTGGATTTAGAATGCCAATTTATGAGATTGTGTGAGATGCTCTGCAAAAGATAGCTTGTCCTTTTTAAAAAAAATCATTTTATTGGGGCTCATACAACTCTTATCATAATCCATACATACATC